TTTAATGTGATCATGTAATGCGATGTGATGTGATGAGATGTGTAATGTAATTTCTGCTGATGTGGTACTATACAATCTGATGCTATGTGCTATGATGCAATATATCGGTGTGTTTGTAGATGATTTGTAAACAAATTTCAAAAAAAGTCTCAGTTATTTCAGCTTCTATTACTTACATCTTGGTATCAAATTGGTATTCAACTGGGTCACTGAAAGAAATATCTTCCGTTGGTGCGCCCTCATTGTTAATCAAAGTCAAAGTAACTTCTCTATCTCCCAAGCTTTGGAATTCAAATTGTGTCACCAATACACGAGTATAGACTCGATGTGCAAATATTCGTACTGTGACGACAAAATCGGCGTGTGTCATTGTTTCATACCAGATACCTACACAAATATAATATGAAAAGTGCACGTGTGTGAGACTTATAGATCATGACAATGTGTGTGAACGGATGTCAATACACATCATCGCGAAAAAATAATAAATAAAGCCCTTACAGTTCGAAAATTTAGTAGATTGGAAGTTGGGTAGATTTGATAAATCTGTAGTAGGGGTATTATAAGATCGGCTGGGGCGCTGTGACATTGTTACTCTGCTGAACGCTTCCGTCATTTAACCGTGATTTGGCAATTGTATTGCGCGAACAAAAATTGTAAGAACAAATGCATTCTCGCCAACAAATGTTGACAGTAGACTTCGAATCCGAAATGTTGTTCACCTTCGCTTAACAAATAGAACAAAAACCGGTAGAATGTTAGTTTTTGTTTACTAAATTCAAGTCTAATACATACCTTCCGCAACGTTGAGGTCGTAGCGCCTCGTTATTTCATTTTCTAATCCTTCTTCAAAGTGAACTCTAATTGCATTTTTAGATGATATCCTGGCACGGTGACTCACACCTGTTATGAATTAAGGATACACAATATTAAAGTACTTACCATAATCTGTTTAATATGACGCCGAACTATCAATGATACAACATTTATTTCCGGAGAACGAGTCCCAGCCTTACGGCGGTGTTGCCCTTTGGTGTTTCTCCTGAATTAATATTCGAACTTCTTCTATTCAAAAAATGATAAAAATATTTCACATGCCCCGGGTTTGCTGTGTTTTTGGCCAATTATTTATGAAATATAAACATTTAGTAAGTTATAGTAGGTTATACAGGGAATCATGTACGTTACACATGGGATCACGTAGGTTATACAGGGAATCACGTAGGTTATACAAGGAATCACGTAGGTTATACAGGGAATCACGTATGTTATACAAGGAATCACGTAGGTTATACAATGAATCACGTTGGTTATACAGGTAATCACGTAGGTTATACAATGAATCACGTAGGTTATACAGTGAATCACGTAGGTTATACAGGGAGTCACGTAAGTTATACAATGAATCACGTAGACTATACAGGGAATCACGTAGGATATACAATGAATCACGTAGGTTATATCGGGTATCACGTAGGTTATACAGGGAATCACGCAGGTTATATCGGGAATCACGTAGGTTATATCGGCAATCACGTAGGTTATACAGGGATTCACGTAGGTTATACAATGAATCACGTAGGTTATACAGGGAATCACGTAGGTTATATCGGGAATCACACAGGTTATATCGGGAACCATGTAGGTTATACAGGGAATCACGTAGGTTATACAATGAATCACGTAGGTTATACAGGGAATCACGTAGGTTATACAGGGAATCACGTAGGTTATACAAGGAATCACGTAGGTTATACAAGGAATCACGCAGGTTATACAATGAATCACGTAGGTTATACAAGGAATCACGTAGGTTATACAGTGAATCACGGAGGTTATATCGGGAATCACGTAGGTTATACAGTGAATCACGTAGGTTATACAGGGAATCACGTAGGTTATACAAGGAATCACGTAGGTTATACAAGGAATCACGTAGTTTATACAAGGAATCACGTAGGTTATACAAGGAATCACGTAGGTTATACAGTGAATCACGTTGGTTATACAGGGAATCACGTAGTTTTTACATGGAATCACGTAGGTTATACAGGGAATCACGTAGGTCATACAAGGAATCACGTAAGTTATACAAGAAATCACGTAGGTTATACAATGAATCACGTAGGTTATACAGTGAATCACGTTTGTTATACAGGGAATCACGTAGGATATACAAGGAATCACGTAGGTTATACAAGGAATCACGTAGGTTATACAA